AATGAGATGAATATATCAATACCTTGATGAATGAGATGAATATATCAATACCTTGATGAATGAGATGAATATATCAATACCTTGATGAATGAGATTGTTCTTGAATGCGGATTATCACAGGAAGTAACGAGGACCTTGGGCTCGTAGCTCTTCGCGAAGTACTCGCTGAACTCGTCGTTGATGATATCGTGCTCAATCTAAATTGTTGTTTTTTAGGTTACAGAATTTATTTCGGTTATAGAGGCATTATTTTCAAAGTTGAATTGAGCTGGAAACTTGTGTGATATCCCAATCGCTAGATCTCGATATCCACAGTGGACACTTTTTATACTTATACTTAACATTTTGTAACCAAAAATATTTTCTTTCTTTCCCCGAACTGATTTTTTTCATTTAGTGGACAACCGTACAAATATATTTTTCGTCGCCACGCTTTGTATGATAAAAATTATTTGAATATTTAAAATATTAAAATATGGACTATTCTTTTTGAAAAAAGTTAATACAATTAATGTTTCCTAAATTGTCTTATTCATGGTACTTAAAGATTTTTTAAACTGATTTTTAGAACTAATTGAACTGATGATTATTGATCATAGAAAGGATAAGGACTTGCTTCATAAACAGAAACCAAAATAATTCATCGCATGCCTTACACTATCCATCTTGATAATTATATAATTATAACCAATCCCTTTAAAACAGGTTTTCACCTCTTCATCTTCCTCCTCCCCAGTTTTCCCTCCCACGGTGGTTTCATCGTACTCCCGCATAGAGTCAATAGTCTTGGGAACCAGCTTGGGGGGCGCATCCTCCCCCAGCTCCTCCCGTTCCTTCTTCCTCTCATCCTGCCTCTTCCTCTTCTCCTTCTTCTTCTCACGTTTCAGGTTCAACCAAGCTGCATTCCTCCTAAAATCAGGCAAATCCGTTAAATTCTATCGCAGTTAGAAGCAGTTCTTAAATTTCTTCTAAATAAAGCTTTAAAATCGTGTTGTAACTTTGAAAATTGTACTGTTTTTATTTTAACCATTAGAAATCATTACTCCAATCTTTTTTATAAATTTGTATATATAAATCTGATGTATAATCTTCCTTTTTAAGTCCCAAATAAGTTTATAAGAATGGATATCATTAGACAAAGAAAACGATATTCTTCCTGAAAACTGTACGATTGTTTTTAATAACTTTCCAAGCGACTGCAAAATAATTGTAGAAGATATAAGTTACATTTATTTCTAATTGATAGCGATATCTACTCTCAAAACTCCAGAAAATTGGTTGTTCACAAAAATTAAATGTATTGAAAGAACCTCTTGAATTAAGTGAAACATCTCTTTGTGTCAAAAGACATAATTTGAGTTGAAATAAAACTAGGAAATAAATTTCCTTCGAAATTATAAAATACTTGCAAAGCAAAAGATCGTTCTTGGTAGTCTTAATTATGATTTGACCTGATTTTATTTTCTATTCTAGAGATATTCTTTTCAATTTTGTTTTCTCCGTCCAGCTTGAGATCTGTTTGGTTCCGTTTAGTCAGTTTTCGATCAATAATCGCCTCCCCTCCGCCCACCTTGTCCTCATCACCTGCCATCTTGTTAAAATGCAAATATACAAAAAATATCTGAAATGAAGAAAAAAATCAATCATCAAATTCCATGTAAATTATACATTGGCTTGAATGACTTGGAAAAAAGTACAAGACACTGATTAAGATCACATTTGTTGATTTTAACGATCAATGGCGATCGTTAAGCTTGCTCAAGAGATATCTCCAACATTTTCAAAATCCCCTCCTTCGTCTCTGCTCCTCCGATGAACCCGGAGGCATGAACAAATATAGCACCTTCGACACTGGAAACCTTCGCCAGCTCATCGTCCCTGACCCCTCGCCAAGCTGCCGGTAAACTCAATCTGTTCTCAAACGAGTCCGGACCCTGAGGGACGCATTGTATACGCCATTTACCAGATTGATCAGTATAGATAGTGTACAAGATGTTTCCTTCCAATCCTTGCTCTAGTTCGAGTTCAAACAAATGCTCTTTCCAGGGTGCTCCTCCTTCCAAGAACACGAGGGCATGCCCACTCTTATGGGCGGAAAATCGTTGTTCAAGAGCATCAGCGACGATCTTTCTCGCCGGCCACCAGGATCGGCTGAAATAATGAACTTTATCCGTGAACTCGGCTTCAGCAACGGCCATAGCTCGGTGGAACCGTTCGTCGATGTCGTTCCCAGGTTCGTTCCAAGACGGGTTAAAAGCTCCGATCCTTCGACTAAAGTTAGTATTGATAGTATATCTGCCCGGTGTATCATGTGTCGAGATACCATTATCAATGGCGTCCACCTCTTCGATAAACTTCTCGTAGATCTTGACAAACAACTTCTCGACCAGAACATCGACGTCAGAGCTTTTTGCGTCTGTTTGAATCAGTGTCGATATAATCTCTTTACCAAAATGAAAATAGACAAGACCAGCGCTAGATAATTTAGTTGAATACTTGTAGCTTGAATCCAGACTATTCAATGTATGTGTGAATGTCTTCTGATGATGATCAAATCGCTGGCGCTCCGCGTCAAACACGGCACCTACGTCTACAACGATATCACAGGTATCTAGCAGAGCAGGATCTCTGGTTCGGACGATCTCTGCGTCCTTAAATCTCGGGAGAACTCGGAGTAGAGCACAAGCAAGGACCTCGTCGGCGTGAAAACTTCCATTGTGAGTTCCAATCTTCATTTTTCCCGTGAGATGAGAAATTAGTCTAGAAAACATTATATACTGGGAAATTACCGATTTCTATTTTAAAACTTAAATATCAATTAATTTATTTTTATTAAATGTGAACAATTGTACGATGAGTGCACAAATATATACGGTAAAATTAAATAATTACGGTAATTTCACGAATTTACACTATTATTTCCATGTGTATAATTTTTTAGCGCAAAATGGACTAGAATGCCGCTGTAAACCATTTATTTTTCAGAAAATCGTCTTTGTAGTCTGACATAAATCAATCAGTGAATGAATAATAATCGGAACTCGCTTTGTTATCGATAAACATTACCATGGATGAATATATTTATTTTATTCTTTTTCAGATATTTTAGACTAAATTTTCCTTTTCCGAATCAAATACATCTTTCATCTTTTAGCATGGTCTTTGCTTCATTATAACGTTTTATTTGTAAATACGCAAGATTAGTTATCAAATATTTATCTATATTTACCTCCAAATATTGCTTTATTTTCAAAATCTAAGTTTTTCCGTTATTTTAACTCATGTGAAGAATGTGAAGAGGGTTTATTCAATCAAATTTGTTTTTATTCATTTATTGATTGATTGATAAAGGTGTTTAAATATGAAATTATTTGCGGCATTGCGTGTTATTCAGTATTTTCTTGTTCCCCGCCAAATTTCCACAGGGTGATCAGGCAGTGGCACAGATCCACAATGAGTGATAAATGTTGCAAGTCAAAATACAACTTCTTATTTCCGGTCATTTGGCCGCAGTGCCCGGCCCTTAGCCGAGGCGCTGGGCCCCTAGCCGTAGGTGTCTTGACCTTCCTAACCCATAAATATTTAAAAGTGAATAATAATAATTTTGCCGAAAAACAAGTGGTCATGTACGTAATGGTTAGAAGTGTGGGGGGGAAGGGGGGTCCTAAAATCGTTCTCTAGGACAGACCCCAATTTCTAGGCCTAGGCCTAGGCGCTTCGTCTAGAACAGACTAGGGGGGATGATTGCTATGGCTAGGGGGCCGAGCGCCGCGGCTAGGACAGGCAGGGGGCCGGGCGCTGCGTCCTCATGATCAAACATATCTATGCGTAACAAAGATAATATATAGTTCCGTCTCCCTGCCATAAACTGTAATTTAAACTAATGTTAATTATAAATATCCATTTTTACATGTATAGTTTGTGGCTAAATATATAATTTAATTTGATTTGATCTGAATCTGACTCTGACTCTGACTCTGACTCTGACTCTGACTCTGACTCTGACTCTGACTCTGACCCAAAAAAAAAACTCCATTACTTTCCTAAAATGATCATCCTATGTTTGGTGCGCTCAAAACTTCAATTGGATTAGTATATAAAAAAGAAATGAGCCAGCCCCAGTCCATTATCCCCTTTGATAGCCTTAGTTGAATTTTTTTAAATAATTCAAATGTGCCATGAAATTACCCAAACAAGTAAATTGTCCACCTGTTTTTGAAATTTTCTAAATTCATAGGAAATTCTGCAAACAAATGCAGGAAGGAACTGTTAATCTTTTCTTTGTTATTATGCATTAAAGTTACCCCCATTCCGGCTGGGGGGGTCTCTGGTTAACCCCCTCCCCCTAACATATTATTTTATTTAAATATCTCATAAAAACCGTTTGACTAAATAGATATCACTTACTTAACAAATATAAAATAATTTCCAAAGGTTTGCCAATATTTCTGTCTACTATATCTTGTACAACTGATCATAACATGAACAAAACGCGTACTGTATGTTTGTGTTACCTAGAAATTTAATTTTATTGGTTAAACAGGTCCAGATAGCAACACTTGAACTATACAGGACGTAATACACGTAATGTATGTTTATATAACACAAATGCGTTTTTCCTACAGATGGCAGCAGGGGGAGAAAGGTCAAAGGAATATAGAAAGTAATCAATTTGCTATAGATGTCTCTCCTTGCACTTTATCTCAGAGGTACAAAAATTAGTTGTCTGCTACAAGCAATTTAGGAAGGAGGTTTCTACCTGCCAGCGTATCTATATATATATTATCAATTTTTAATACGTTAACAAAGTATTAAACTTAGGTATTTTTACAACTGATTCATTCATGATCAGAAAAAAAATTTTGTCTGCAGCGCTCGGCTTAAGTTAACTGTTAAATGAAATAATCACTCTAACTTGTAGAGTGATGAAGTGCCATAAAGGATGTATATAATTTTGTCATTGGGTCAATAAAAGACACTCAAATACGCGTTTTATATCAATACTAACCCCCGTGTTAAAATTACAAAAGAAGATATTTTGATTTAGATTTGTTTTTCTAGATAAATGAAGTTTTAAATGCCCCCGAAGAAGGGTTTACCATCGAAGGAATGGAGGTAAGATAAAGTATAAAAGTTTCAAACAGGTAAATTTTGGTTAGAGTAGAACTTAGAATTTCTATATTTTATCACTTTAAAAGAAACCCACTCAAGACCAGCCTTAAAGTTAGCAATCACAGTCAACTAATTAATTATAAATATCTAGTTAAAGTTCTTACCTAATACAGACATCTTCATAATATGTCAACAGTAACTTTTACATTATCAATCTTGTATGTTTTCAAGATATAATGATACTAATTATAAGTTTAAATATTTAATTGTAATTAAATTCTAAATGACGCATTGAAAATCAAACCTTTAAAGGGACTGTAGTTTCCAATGACCCAACATGCAAAGCTATCAATGTTCGAATTACAACGTTACCCTTGGTGACGTGACGTATAGAGAACAAGTCAAATTATAGATAACTAGGCTTCTTCTATTTCAATTGTAAACATTTTCTCTTTGGACACATCGTTAAACAACCCAAAATTCGCGGATTTTATTTTTTAAAATCGTCGATTTTCCAAATTTAATGAAAATCTAGCTTCGTTGGAGTCTAATTGATGAACTTTTAATCATCCATAACCCTTCCCTGGGATCATGTGAGGTCCGACATAAATTTGGGCCTGATCGGTTCAGCCGTTTAGACATATTTTGGATACAAACAGACAAACTAGAAAAATATGAATATATAGATTGGGTGAAATTACTGTTCTTTGAGGGGGGACAAGGCCTGAGCAATCATTGTAGACAATTTGTTCATGTACTATCCTAATACATCCCTTTTTTAAGATTGAAATATGTTAGATATTTTTTAAATGGAAATATATTAACTTGATATCCAAATTAAATGTCTAGGTTGGTATGGTTGCTATTTTGGGTAAGATTGCCTCTGTAGAAGTATCAGCAACCAAAACTAGCTATCAGGTATATAATCTAGGGTTGGTTGGTTGGTTGGTTGGCTAGTTGGTTGGCTGGTTGGTTGGCTGGCTGGTTGGTTGGTTGGATTGGTTAGAATTTTTTTCATTAGATTTGATTGATTGGTTGACGGATTAATCGGGTGAATGATAAGAATTTATTGTTTTATTATTTCATTGATTGGCATAATATGACTTTATATGGTTATGCGGATTAAATGAGATTAAATTTTAATCATGAATTGATTGACTGATTGAATAGATCGAGGATAGCACTGGTCAACTGACGGTTGTGCAGTGGGTTGAGGAGGGGTCCACCGTCAAGGAGTTCTACGAGGGAGCTTTCGTCAAGGTTATCGGCTCCATGAGGACACAGGTAAATATGAAGCAAGTGGCTTTAAGCGACTGTAAGCATAATTTTCAGTGTACCTTTATCCAAAGATGGCAATGTCCGATTTACAACGGTACTCGTGAAACCTTAATTAGATCAAAAATGTGGAAGACATCGTAATTTTTATGATCCTAAAAGTGTTTATTTTCATAAGTTTCTCCATTGCTGTCTATCAACAAGAAATGCGCAAGTCACGTACGGAGAGAAACCGCAAATGTAAAGAAATAAAAAGATTGAAATCAAATTCATACTTGATCAAACAAAGCTTTCATGTGTTTAGTTGTAAATCTTGCAATGCTATCTTTAAATGGAGGGTCACTTGAGATTACTTGTTTTTTTCATATGGAGCTTTTACAAGTTTTCATTAAGTTAGCACCGGGGTAGACCGTAGTGGGTATTTGACAATATTTACATTATTTATCAACTCACTTCGTGGTACTCCGGGTTCCTTTTATGAAAATTCTGTTTTTTAACGGATAAAATATTATTCTGAGAATTATTCTAAGGTTTGGAAAATAAATTTATAATTTTATGTGTTTGTGTCCGTAAATTTAATATTTTAATTGCACCCATTTGCATCCTTTTTAGGTTCATTTCTGGTGTTTGGACATAAAGAAAATGCAGATCACCAATTAGTAGATTTCATGTCTTATCTTTGAAATTTTTTTTGAAATGACAATACACCTAATTTTCATAACTGTTACAGGGTGAGAAGAAACATATGATGGCTTTCCGTATGCTAGAAGCTCCCACCCAGGAGGAACAGGACTTTCACGCACTGCAGGTTTTTATTTATAGTACACCTTGCATGATTGATTGATTGTTTAGATTGATTTATTGATTGATTGTTTAGATTGATTGATTGATTGATTGATTGATTACTTGTTTGACGAAAGCTGTGGGTTGATAGATGAAGACATCAACTAATAAATGCATTGTTTGATAAACGATTGATTGATTGAGTTTTGTTTTCACTGAAATTTGTTCATTAATTCATTGATTTTATTGTGTAGGTCGTGTTCTCCCATCTCAAGCTGAAGCAGATCAATGCAAAGATGACTGGACAGGTAGAATGAACTATGTCAGGGTTACTTACAGTTTTTTGATATGATTTTACCAAAATCTGTTTTGTTTGCCAAATAGTGCTGTAAATCATGAAAACACGCCAATTTTATTGAAGATAAGACCATCTTAATTTGTTAGGTTTTCTCAACAAATTAGACTTCAATTTTCTCAACAAATTAGACTTCAATTTTCTCAACAAATTAGACTTCAATTTTCTCCTGGCAAGAATCATGTTCTTAATTTCAAGGTCCCCTATATCTAAAGATGGCAATGTCCGATTTACCTTTATCTGATCAAGTATGATTTAGATTTAGAGTTAGAGTTAGAGTTAGAGTTAGAGTTAGAGTTAGAGTTAGAGTTAGAGTTAGAGTTAGAGTTAGAGTTAGAGTTAGAGTTAGAGTTAGATTTAGATTTAGATTTAGATTTAGATTTAGATTTAAATTTAGATTTAGATTTAGATTTAGGAGTGTTTTACGCTTCATTTTTATCTATGGGTTCTCTGTAAAAGTGACCTGCGAATTTCTCGCTTAAAAGAAACAAACGAGAAATCACGTTTCCGAGTCAGCAACCCGATGTTATCTTAAACATTTTAAATTGGATTAAGATATCAATAGTAACGTTGTAAATCGGGCATTGCAATCTTTAGATTTTTAGATCCTGATATTTTTCGGAAGATTTTGTGACGTATTTGTTTAAACAAAAAACTTCCATTTTCTTGTTTTTCTAAATAAGAATATTAAACTAATTTTACTATAGTCTGGTATGGACCAGTCTGGACTATCTAACTCTATGATGGGAAATGGTGGATTAGGGGCCAGTAACTTTGGAGGTAAGTGATCCCAAAAAAAGATAAAATAATCTTTGATGTTTGCATTATGTCGTCATTATCCATTCTTAACGTGCGTCCGCAATAGTGCATTCTCATTATGCGTCCTACGTGTTTATTCTAAATGTGCCTCATCCAAAAGCTTTCTCACTGTGCGTCCTCATTATGCGTCCTTTAAGTTCATTCTTAATATGCGTCATCAAAGAGCTTTCTTACTGTGCGTCCTCATTATGCGTCCTTTGTGTTCATTCTTAATATGCGTCATCAAAGAGCTTTCTTACTGTGCGTCCTCATTATGCGTCCTTTGTGTTCATTCTTAATGTGCGTCATCAAAGAGCTTTCTCACTGTGCGTCCTCATTATGCGTTCTTCGCGTTCATTCTTAATGTGCGTCATCAAAGAGCATTTTCACTGCGTCCTTATGCTTCTTCATTGTGCGTCCTTCGTGTTAATTCTTAATGTGTGTCATCTATGAGCTTTTTCACTGTGCGTCCTTCGTGTTCATTCTTAATTTGCGTCATCTAAGAGCAATTTCACTGTGCGTCCTAATGCTTCTTCATTGTGCGTCCTTCGTGTTCATTCTCAATGCGCGTTCTCAAAGAGGTTTTTCAGTTTGCGTCCGCAATATACTTTATGCATCCTCTGCACTAAAGGGGGGGGGGGTGTAATAGTTACATTTAAACTATTAAGCAGTAGTCCGCTTGAACAAAAACAGAAAGGAGTTCCCTGAGCAGAAATATTGTAATATTGATGTTATTTCTAGGAAGCTCTAGTGCTAGTTTCGGAAACAAGAATCAGGATTTGATTTATAATCTGATAAAACAGTGTAGAGACGACCAGGGTATTCACCTAGGGACAATCAATAATGAGGTAATTCGAAGCAATGTGGGGGGGGGGGGATCATCGTCTGCCAGGTTTCAACCTAGTTTTTACACCTAATACGTCTAGAGAGAGATATTAAAGCATTGAAAAATTACAGTTAAAAAAACCTTTCTAACTGAACTTCTGAAGCATGTTATGTTTTTTGTAATGAAGCCCACATTCTTGTGATTTTTTATTCGGATGAAACAAAAATAAATATATCTTTATCCAAATCCATCCATATTTTCTTCTTCAAATGTCTAAACGGAATAACTTTTCTATGTTACCTAATTTAATATTTAGACATTAAACACAATCTTAGTTAGAGAAGAAAAAATTTGGGACACCCACCCATTCCTTACAATTTAATTAAGTTTTACAACTTGAAAATCTACAATTGTTACTCGGTTATGGGACTCAAAGCGCCCTTATTCTTATATTACGCTTGAACAGTGTTCACTGACTATCTTGAGAAATCGCGTTTTCTCACAAAATGATGTGGGATGTACAGAACATAACTTAGTTTTCAGATTTCTTTATGTTCAGATGCAAATTTTCATTTTTACAAATTACAGTGAGAACCAGAAAACATCGGAATGGGAAAACAACATAATATCAAGACATAAGTGTATTTGATGTTGTTTTAAAGCAAATAGTTTTACTAAACAATTATTAAATCACTATTTTGGTGAAATTGGTCTGTTTACGCTGCCAAATTGCTGTGTCTCATTGTCATTGGATTTTTAAAAATTGTAAATTTATTATAAAAGTCGTCTTCCTATTTCATAGTTTTATGATTATCACTATTTTAAATATATTTTTCTTGAAATGGAACATTTAAAAAGCTTTAAGGGTGATTGATTAGTGACTTTTTTTAGACATCAGTTAAAAGCCCACCGGCTACCAGAGGTTGCTGCGTTTTCTCTTAATTAAAATATTGCAAAAAAATCAAAATAGTATATTCGAACTACGGTTGCGAATTGACGATTTAATATCGGAGAAATCAACGAAAGGCTGAAAAAAATATTAAATAAAATTTCATTTTTCAGATCGTTTTCATGAAAATTCTATGCTGAATTCAAATCTGAAAAGTGCTTTATGAAAAAATTAAAATTGAATGAGTTAGAAAACGCAGCGTCCCCCGGTGGGCGGTTGGCTTAGTTCCAATATTGATCAGCCTTTACTTGTATACATCACATTTTTCGTTGAAACCCGTTAGAAAGTAACAAAGATAATTCCAATACTTCTTGTTTTTTTTTTAGCCATCACTCTCTTTTATTAAGGAATAGTGAAATGAATAAAATATATTAACAGTACAGTACAATACAATATGTCTTCAAAACAAAATTATCAATTACAAAATATCACAATGTTGGAAATCCACCAAAATATAAAAATAGGAAGGGAAGAAGGTACACTTGAACACCAAAAGTATTTTGGATTTTGAAAGCTAAATTTTGTACTTAAATAGTTTTAAACCGATATGATAAAAGCATGTTAAGCCTTTTATGCAGTTCTAAGATCAATTAAACCTGATTGATCAATTACAGCTGTACGAATATCTACAATATCAGGTACAGAAGCCACAGTAGCTACTGGTGTAACTGGAACACTTGGAATAGTTGTGATTAAGGGTTTCAAATCACAAGCATCATGAGAATACCATCTTCCTTCGCCAGGAGCAGGCTGAACATCAGAACAGTCGGCGTTAGCTTCTACAAAGCAGTAATCCAGAGCATCACAAGTTCTCTCCGGGTCTCCCATAAAGGCATTAGCACCAGAGAGGGGATTTATACAGGCGCATTTTACCTTTGGTGCTGATTGGTTTCTTGTTCTCGACAGGCTGGGTGTAGACAGACGAGATAGAGCAGGGAGAAGGTTTGTAGCCCGACAGGCGTATGCAGAGAAGCATCTTTTCCCTCCGTCCGTTGGTTTTACATCATAGCAATCAGAAGAGCAGTTGACAAAACACCAGTGAGATTTAGAACATGTGTTTCTAGGTTCTGATCCTGTGTTTCCGGGGAAAGGATTGATGCAACCACACTTTTCCTTGGTGTTCTTCTGGTAGATGCTTGGGATAGAGTTAGGTCTATGATGGGCATTAGTGTAGAGGAAAAGGGTGCAACAGATCTGCATCTAGAATAAAACATTTCTCATGCGGAGATATTGGTAAAAATAAATCGGATCAAAGCGTGGGGTCTAAAATACAACTGAGTTCAATTAAAGGGACTGTAAGCGTAAATTTAAGTGAGCCTCCTTGCTAAGATGGCAATGTCTGATTCACAATGATACCCTTAAAAATCTTGTTTGATCAAGTACACTCGGGAGGTTTCAATGTCTTGAAGAGAAATTATGAGAATTAGCTTTACCAGCAGAGCTAGACTGATGGTCTTCATGGTAGTGGATTAAATAAAGAACTAACCTAGGTTAGTAATGCAAAACCATTATATACCCTTACGGTCCTATTCTTAGAAAGGATCAGTATGCGTCCTGCGAAATAACCGGCATTAATGCATATTGAGAAGTTATGCAGGTTGTCGTGGGAAGAAAATCATATCTCATAAAAAAAAGTTAGGTTAATGTAGCAAATATTTTTGTTCGTTTATGTAGATAACCTTAAAGAAACTCGTACATTAAAAAGAATCCATTGCACTTAAAAGTCGAAACATTTATTATTGCACACCCTTTACAGACTAGAAAACTGGGAATCACAGAAATAAACCCACTACCCAGCCTTAGGTAGAGGAAACATTAGAACCCGGGGATTCACGCTTATCTTCTTGCAGTACCGAATAGTACAAGAAACAATTTAACATATTTAGATAAACAATTAACAGTACAGTATACAATGCAGTACATTATAGTACAGTGTAGTACAGTATAGTACACTGAACATTTATCATATTCGCTAAACGATTAACAGTACAGTTCAGTGCAGTACAATATAGTACAGTGCAGTAAAGTATAGTACACTGAACAATTTAACATATTCATCAAAACAATTAACAGTACAGTACAGTACAGAATAGTACACAAAACAATTAAACATATTCAACTAAACAATTAACAGTACATGTACAGTGCAGTACAGTACAGTACAGAATAGTACACAGAACAATTTAACATATTTAGCTAAACAATTAAAAGTACAGTACAGTGCAGTACAATATAGTACAATGGAGTATAGTACAGTTTACAGTGCAGTACAATAAAGTACACTGCACAATTTATCATATTCAGCTAAACAATTAACAGCACAGTAGAGTGCAGTACAGTATAGTACACTGATTAATTTAACATATTCATCTAAACAATTAATAGGACAGTGTAGTACAGTATAATACACTATACAATTTAATATATTCATCTTAACAATTAACAGTACAGTAAAGTGCAGTACAATATAGTACAGTAAAGTAAACTGTACAACTTAACATTTTCATCTAAACAATCAACAGTACAGTACATTGGTTTGGCATTGATAGATTAAGAGCTTGTGTCCGTTTTGACATTGATAGCTGATGACTTGAAAAATTGATATAAGATGGTCCACAATCATGATCATCCTGGATCATGAAGGAGGGGGGGGGGGGGGTCAGAAGGGGAGTGGGTACAAAACACCTAAAACAACACCTAAACTTCAAAACACCTAAATTCAAAACACCAAAATTTTAGAAGACCTAAATTCAAAACACTTAAATTCCAGAAGACCTAGTTAAATGTCCAAACACCCAACGTGTGAAAACACCTTTTTTTCAAAACACCTAAATTTCACTTTAAAGAAAAAACACTTAAATTTCATTTTATAGGTAGAAAACACCTAAATTGTCATTAAAAGGTTCAAAATGAAATTTAGTTTTTCACCTTTACATTAAATTTATATATCTGTACATTCAAAAAAGTTCATCTGAAAATTTTGATGTTTCTTTCCGAAAAAGAATTTTAGGTGCTTTAAAAACTGAAGTGTTTCGGCACTTTGGGTGTTTTGACACGTGGGTGTTATGTTTTTAGGTGTTTTGTATTTTAAGGAAAGAGGAGGGGGGGCGAGGAAGGGGGTTTAGAAGGAGGGAAGAGGAGGAGGAGAAAAATCCGAGGATAACAATTAAAACTTAAAGAGGATCCAGTAAATGGAATGAGAGGGGAGGAGAGTAGATAAGGAGAAGCAAAGTTTTTGAAACCACGCAACCTCGAAAACAAAACATTTATCTATATTGTCAGCAGCACATTTTTAGCGTTAGGCCAAAAAATTTTGTGGCCAAACTTTAAACTTTGAAAGTAAAGAACTTAAGAAAAATTGAAAAAATATAAGAACCAGCATGGTTAGAGAGGTCCTGGCAAAATGTAAGAACCAGCATGGTTAGAGAGGTCCTGACAAAATATAACAACCAACAAGGTTAGAGAGGTCCTGGCAAAATATAACAACCAACATGGTTAGAGAGGTCCTGACAAAATATAACAACCA